TTTCCTTTTTTTGAGTCACCCTTCCTTGGTGGGAGATGGCTGACATGTTGATAAAAAAAGATACTACAACACTCCATGGGGAAGTGGAGAAGACTCCTTCCTCTGTAAGCCATGCGTTTTATAAGAGATGACTAAAATGCCAGGAGCAAGGGCTAGCTGGTAACCCCTTCTGTATAAATAACTAAATGTAAAATGAAAAAAACTTTGTGAGTGTTTTTTCTTTTTTTGGGTCACCCTGCCTCCATGGGAGACAGCGAGTGTTATAAAAAAATACTACTCAAGAAATGTATTATCATGATTTTTTTTTATAGATGATCACTTTTTTCTTGGTTATTTTTTGATAAAATATACTAATTCTCCATGGGGAAATGGAACAGAATTCTTCCTAAGTGAGCCATGCGTGTTGTAGGAGGCGACTAAAATGCCAGGAGCAAGGGGCTAGTAACCCCTTCTGTATGTGTTACTAAATTTAAAATGAGAAACTTTTTTTTTCTTTTTAGGTCACCCTGCCTTGGTGGGATATGGCTGGTCTGTTAAAAAAAAATATATATATACTAATGATTGGTATGAAAAAACTGAAGCTATTGGACTGGTAGCTTGGTGGCCAAACATAATCAGATATTGAACCCCATTGCTAGACATATCACCTTCATTTATTTTCAGTTTGTTTATTTATTGTTAAATACAGTACAGGTTGAGTATGTGTTATCCAGAATTCAGAAATATCCCAAATCCGAAGGTTTTTCAAGTGCCAACAAGCCCCAACAAATGGAGACTTCTAGTCGGCTCTGGGGAAGTTCCCAGGCATTGCACAGGTGTCTGCATACCCAGGGAGTTGTGATATATGTCCTCGCACACCCTGGGTGGCACTCTGACACTTCTGGTGCCAGTTTATCCATCAGAGCTACACATTACTCATTGTCATTACCACGTGTTTTGTGCTTATTCTCCGCTCTGTGGTGTGGAGATATTGTTGAAAATGTCAAAAAGACCTGCAGATACCCCTAAGGGTAATTGTGTTATGGAAAAATACAGTGCCTTTTAATCATAACATGGCATCATAGATTGAGACTGAAAACCTGCCATTATTTGTTATTTTTTAACAGCTGATGCAAGTATTCTCCTGATGGTGCTGTGCTGCTTTTATTAAAAAGATTGTATAAAACTACCTTCAGGTTATGTGTATAAGGTGCATATGAAATATAAATGGGTCCTATCCCCAAGCTATTTCATTATACAGTGGACCCTCCCTTTTTGTTGGGCTTTGTTTTCGCTCATTCCAGTTTGGGCCGATTTTTTCTGTAAAAATATTGGCTCAGTTTTTGTTGCGTTCCTCCGTTCTTGTCGGTGGTACGGTATTGGCAGCTCAATTGTCGTTACTCTCCTCTGTTCTCGGTGGTGGTGTGGCACAGGTCTGAGTGTGCCGATCACTCAACCTCCCACACATGCATTCTGAGGCAGTGTCGCTTTGTTTACGGTTGAGTGAACATTGCTCTGCGAGTTTATACGAATTATTTTGTAATAATTCATTGTTTCTTGCACTTGTTTATTCTGTGTGACTGCTAAATAAGCCACCTTGGGCTCAAACAAAGCTGCTAGTCCCAGTCCTTTGGTAAAGAAGGTGAGAAACAATAGAATTCAAGAAAGAAAGAAATTGAAAAATATGAACATGGCTTACGTGTGATCAACATTGTGAGGATATATGGCAAACCTGCATCAACCATCAGTTCCATCGTAGCGAAGAACAACGAAATCAAGGAAGCTGATGTTGCAAAAGGGGTAAAAGTGAAAACAAAACAGAGATCACAAACACTGGAAGATGTCAAGAAATTGTTGTTGGTGTGGATCAACAAGAAACAATTAGCGGGTGATAGTGTTGTGCAGTCGATAATTTGCGAAAAGGCAAGGCAGTAGCATGCCGATCTCGTAAAGAAAATGCCTCGAATGAGTGCTGATGTTAGTGAATTTAAAGCCAGCAAGAGCTGGTTCGAAAAATTAAAAAAGTGTAGTGGCATACACAGTGCTGTAAAACATGGTGAGGCAGCAAGTTCAGATAAACATGGGGCTGAAAAATTAGTGCATGAATTCAAGGAGTACATAGAGGCTGAAGGATTCGTCCCCTAACAGCTGTTCAATTGTAACAAAGCGGGCCTCTTTTGGAAGAAAATGCCAAAGAGGACCTACATCATGCAGGAGGAAAAGGGACTACCATGACACAAGCCTATGAAAAACAGGCTAACTCTCTTGCTTTGTGATAATGCTAGTGGGGATTTTAAAGTGAAGCCTTTACTGGTGTATCACTCTGAAAATCTCAGTGTGTTCAAGAAAAACAGTGTTGCCAAGAGTAAATTGTGTGTGATGTGGAAGGCTAATAGTAAGGCATGGGTCACAAGGGAAATTTTCCTCGATTGGTTCGATGAAATGTTTGGCCCCAGTGTGAAGGAATACTTCCTGGAAAAGAAATTGCCACAGTGCCTCCTGGTAATGGACAGTGCTCCTGGTCATCCTCCAAACCTGGATGACCAAATGGTGGAGGAGTTTAATTTCATCACAGTGAAATTCTTGCCCCCTAATACCACTCTTTTCATCCAGCCCATGGACCAGTAGATCATTTTGAACTTCAAAAAACTCTACACCAAAGCAGTGTTTCAAAGGGGCTTTGATGTGACCTCAGACACTCAGTTGCTCCTAAGAGCTTTCTGGAGAAGTATTACAACCCAGGAATCCAAATGGCCTGTTATCCTGGGTGTAAAGGGAGCAAAATAAACACAGCAGAAAAAGTTTAGACTTATATTATCCTTCACCAATTTAGAACAGCAATATGTACACTATGTACAGTGATAAGTATAGTGCACTCCACGGTAAGCAAGGCAGAAATAGAAGCCACAAGATAGCAGACCGTGCTTCAACCAGCTCTAGAATGGGAATGACAAGGGCAGACAGGAGAGTGGTACCCACATAACCTCTGCGATTGCCAAAACCATCTTCTTATTGGCTAGAACCTGGTCACTAGTTGAACGATGGGGCCCCATCATCAACTCTTAGCAACCTGGCGCTGTATAGTCCTTGTGGCTTAGCGCTTCTTTTTGATTATGATAATAATAATTAGCAACCTGGTTCGCTGGTTGGGGGAGATAGCCTGTAAATGAGGGTGTGTACATGCGCTGAATAAAGGTTACGTACTCTTTGCATGCCACAAGAAGTCACTTCATTATCCTCAATTGCATAAGCCTTATAGATAAGGCTTGGCAGGGAGTGACTTTCAGGACGATGAGCTCTGCTTGGAGAAAATTGTGGCCAGAATGTGCTCAGGAGAGGGATTTTGAAGGGTTTGGGACTGACCCTGTCAACCCTACACCTGTTGTGGATTGTATTGTGGCATTAGGGAATTCCATGGGGTTGGATGTGAGTGGCCAGGATGTGGAAGAGTTGGTGGAGGACCACAGTGAAGAGCTAACCACTGAAGAGCTGCAAGACCTTCATCTGCGACAGCAACAGAACACAGCTGTGGAATATGCTTCAGAGGAGGAGGAAGAGAGAGGGGGGAATGTGCCTTCTTCAGTGATTAAGGACATGTGTGCAAAATGGAGTGAGTTGCAAAGTTTTGTGCAGAAATATCACCCTAACTAAGCTCTTGGAAGCTGTGTTGGCAACATGTACAATGACAATACCATGTCCCATTTTAGGCAAATTTTAAAGAGACGCCAGAAACAGAATTCTCTGGACAGTTTTTTTGTGTGACGGGTCCAGTGACTCAAACTGGTCCTAGTACGATTAAAAAACTAAAAAGGGAAGTAACCCCGGACATGCACTTGGTACCTGAAGTCTTTATGGAAGGGGATTCCCCTTCCAAACAATAGTGACTTCTCCCTCTTCCCTTCTCCCTGTCTACCATACACCAAGAGTCTTCAATAAAGGTAAGTGTCATGTTATTACACTATTGTTTTATACTACTTGAGTTCTCATTCTTTTTTGTTTGTAAATCTATATTTAATGTATAAAAAAATATTTTTTGTTAATACTTCTGGGTGGCTGGAACGGATTAATTGGATTTATATTATTTCTTGTGGGGAAAATGATTTCAGTTTTAGTTGATTTCATGTTTTGTTGGACTCTGGAAAGAATTAACAATGAAAAGGGAGGGTCCACTGTATTAGAAAATCCAAAAAATCCTGAAATCAGAGACACTTGCAGCCCCAGGCATTTTGGATAAAGGATAGTCAACCTGTATGCATTTTTTATGGGTTTATATAACCTACCCTAACCATCCTATAAACTGATCACTTTCTGATTGCCATCCAAATAGCCTTTAACTATTCATTTCTTGGCTGCCAGGTGAATGGACATTGCATATGAAAATACTCAGTGTGATGTATTCTATCAAACTAGCAGTTGTAAATGCTCTCTTTTTACTGGCTAGCATGAGACAGCTATGCAAGTGTAAAAATGATCGCAGAGCGGAAAAAATTGCATTTTTTCAACCTTTTCTTGTTAATCGATGGGAGGGGGGATTGACTGCATATAATTATATATAGACACACACACTATTACAAAATCAAACTACAACAAAAGTGACATGAACACCAGAAGTACTATAATGTACCAATATTGTGACTGTTCATGAAGCTGGTACACCTTACAAGGTATTAGTCTAATGTGCCACACATTGATCCTAATGTTGTATTATAGCTCAACACTAATGCAAACTAAATGAAAGGATCTACAATCTGCTGTTCACATTTTTTTTTATTTCTGTATATAATATCTTAGAAAATGCTATCTACAAGTTAGGAAACATACCAATAAGTTTTAGGGTTCACACTACCAATATTTGAGCTGATTTAAACTGGTTCTACGTTCCAAATGCTTTTCTTAATATACTGTGACTTTAAACTTGTACAAAATAATTTTTTTGTTGCATCATGATTATATTGAGTGTTGCATGATATAACTAATCCTGTGTAGATTGTGGTACTAACTAAAGATTACAACTTCCTCAGTGTGTGCATGGGATGAAGTTTGACCACATTAGTGCCATATACCACCTCCTGGAAGAGAAGGTGGCAGAAGCTGCATCAGCTTCGGCGTCACCCTCCATGGTCCTTTACCCACAGGCCCTCCCAGTTGTACCCACACACCACAGAAAGTCCTCCATTACCACTGGTGAGTACCCCTAACACCCCTCCTCACCCTTCTTAACCCTTGTGTAATTCTGAGCATGTACTTCAAGTGGAGTGTGATATGTAATACAAGGAATAGATGTGCAGGGATTTACAACTTTGAAGCAAGTTACAATCCCGGTGTTTCAACTTAGAAACAAGTTACATTCCTGGTGTTTCAACTTAGAAACAGTTTACATTCCAGGTGTTTCATCTTCAAAACAATTTACATTCCAGTGTTTCAACATTTAAACGAGTTGCATTTCCAGGGCATCAGCATATGAGTCATTTGCAGCCCTGAGAGTATTTTTTTATTTTTTTATTATCACACTGGCCGATTCCCACCAAGGCAAGGTGGCCCGAAAAAGAAAAACTTTCACCATCATTCACTCCATCACTGTCTTGCCAGAAGGGTGCTTTACACTACAGTTTTTAAACTGCAACATTAACACCCCTCCTTCAGAGTGCAGGCACTGTACTTCCCATCTCCAGGACTCAAGTCCGGCCTGCCGGTTTCCCTGAATCCCTTCATAAATGTTACTTTGCTCACACTCCAACAGCACGTCAAGTATTAAAAACCATTTGTCTCCATTCACTCCTATCAAACACGCTCACGCATGCCTGCTGGAAGTCCAAGCCCCTCGCACACAAAACCTCCTTTACCCCCTCCCTCCAACCCTTCCTAGGCCGACCCCTACCCCGCCTTCCTTCCACTACAGACTGATACACTCTTGAAGTCATTCTGTTTCGCTCCATTCTCTCTACATGTCCGAACCACCTCAACAACCCTTCCTCAGCCCTCTGGACAACAGTTTTGGTAATCCCGCACCTCCTCCTAACTTCCAAACTACGAATTCTCTGCATTATATTCACACCACACATTGCCCTCAGACATGACATCTCCACTGCCTCCAGCCTTCTCCTCGCTGCAACATTCATCACCCACGCTTCACACCCATATAAGAGCGTTGGTAAAACTATACTCTCATACATTCCCCTCTTTGCCTCCAAGGACAAAGTTCTTTGTCTCCACAGACTCCTAAGTGCACCACTCACTCTTTTTCCCTCATCAATTCTATGATTCACCTCATCTTTCATAGACCCCTGAGAGTATTGTCCTAAAGAAAACAAAAATACAAAGGATAATTCTGTGTCGCACATTTATAACTTCAGATTGGCCTTAATAACCCAGTCATTTTCCCAGTATAATGAACCTTGTTAATAAAGTGGATCATTGCAACTCAGGGATTTGTAATTCAGGGAATCACTGTCAAGTCTGGTGTGCTACATGTGGCTTCTGTTCTGGTGTTTTCCTATACACTAACCAATGGTTTAATGCACCCTGCAAGTATGGGACAGAATCCACTGGGTCATTTGATTTTGAAACAACAAAGTTCTTTGGTTACAGAATTGTCCTTTATTGTTACAGTCTCATCTGTATCTATGACCGTCATTATTACTGGCTACCCGCTCCTTCCTATTAGTCTCTTAAATCAACGGTTTACTGCATTTTCTACGAGTCTCTATCATATCACTGAGGAATTATGGTACATTTTTTTCTTGCCATTTGTATTATTATATAATCCCTGTTGTTTTAATGTTCTTATTTTGTTCTTTAACCTCTTTTTCTGTTAAGTAATCATCATCATTTTAGTTATTTTTCATAATGCAAGTAAATGGTACTACTTGCTACACTTGAGGGACTTCTGGACTGGCTTGTGGAAGCCTTCAAAAGATGTTACAAATTGTTTATTTTAAGGCATGGAGAGCATCAAGTCAAAATTACTAGTTATCTCCATGAGGGCATCTATCACATTTCATGAGCTAGAAAGCATCAGAGGAATTTTGAACTTAGCAGTTTGCACAGCGATGACTTTGAACAGAACTTACCTGTGCTTTGATTCTCACCCCAGTAGCAAATTTTTGCAAGTAACTTTGTAGGAGAACTACAATTTTCCTGAAATCTTACTCATTGGTTGTAACATCTTGTGTTCTCTAATTGCGTACTTTATAAGTGCAAAAAAATTAAATGTCATTGTGGTTTTGTTACAGTAGTACAAAAATTAAAATTACATACATTTTAGTTTAGTTCTTGTTTTCATATTATGTGTAAGAGTATTATTCACTGGCTTATTCTTTGCAGCATTATAGTAATGTATGTGTGTGCGTGCATGCATGCATCTGTCTCTATGCATATGTGCATGTGTGAGTATGTCTGTGTGTTTGTGTCTGTGTATGTGTGTCAATGTATGTTCATGTGTCCGGGTGTGTGTGTGCGCGTGTGTGTGTGTGTGCATGTGCGTGCGTGTGTGTGCCTGCATGTGTGTGTGTGTGTGTGTGTGTGCCTGCGTGTGTGTGTGCCTGCGTGCGTGTGTGTGTGTGTGTGTGTCCATATGTGTGTGCATGCACATTCATTCCTGTTTGTGGTTACAAGGGTCAATATTCAGATTCTGGCCATGCCGCTTAACTTCCCATTTTTCAGATTCATTCACTCTTAGCCTCGTGTGCCCTATCGTACCTGCTCTTAAAACTGTATATAGAGTCTGCCTCCACCAAAATCATTCCGCTTCCCGACTACTCTGAGACTGAAGAAATACTTCTTGACATTCCTGTGACTCAGATGAGTCTTTAACTTCCAGGTACACAGCTGACTACATGTTTCCCACCTCTCAAACAACTTGTCCTTGTCAGCCTGATCAATTCCCTTGAATATTTTTTGTTATGTCTCCTGTGGCTCTTCTGTACTCCAGTGTCATTAGGTTCAATTTCTTTAGCTTCTCTTCATAGCTCATACCCCTAAGCACTGGAACTAATCTGATTGTATACCTTTGCATTTTCTCCAGTTTCTTAACATTCTTTCTCAGGTGTGGATTCCATGCTGGTGCTGCCGCCTGCTAGAAGGGTCTGACATGTTGTATAAAGCACCCAGAATGACTCTTTGTTGAGATTCCTGAAGGCCACTTTCAGATTTGACAGGCAAGCATTGGCTGCAGAGGTTATTTGGTTGATATAAGCCTCTGGTGATATGGTATGCACTATGCTTATTCTCAGGTCCTTCTCTCTGAATGAGATCTGTGGCCTCTGTTTTGAATCTATACTCTGGCCAGTCTTTGGGCCCCTTCTCCAGTCTTCATAACTCTGCATTTGCCTGGGTTGAATGCAAGCAACCACTTACCTGACCAATCCCACAGTTTGTCCAGATCTTTTTACAGTCTTACCCCATCCTCATTTGTTTGTATAATCCTCATTAGTTTTGCATCAGTGATTAGAGATACATCTTACTTGGTTTCATCTGGTATATTGTTCACATAAACCAAAAACAGTGTGTGCATGTGTGCACAAGTGTTTTTTGTGTGCGCTTGCTTGCGTGCGTGTGTTCCTTTCAGATGAACAAATGAAACTTGTGATTTATGGTATTTGAACTAAATATACTGTACTGTTTTACTGTGTATGCTATGATTAATTTCATTGTAGTGTGCTATTTTTAAAAAGAAACTTAAGGGATAGGATAATTAATTCACTCAGTGGAGGGGTTCAAACTCGGATCAAGCCAGTCCTAAAACTAGGAGGCCAGTGTGTTATCCACTGTGCCATATTTGCCTAATAAAATTTGCCCATGGTACAGTGGATAGTGCACTGACCTAGTTTGAGGACTGTCTTACCATGGACTCAAACTCTTCATTCAGCAAGTTGTTTACAGTTGTCTTCACTACTTCTTGAGTAAGCATATAATAATTTTTTCACGAATCTCTCAGCAGTAAGTCATAAAGAAGCCAATTCATCATTAGTACTAATTTGCAGTTCCATATATTTCCTGGCCCCTGCTGTAACTGTTCTTTTAGGAGTAAATATGCTGTGAGTAGCATCCTAGGGGTGGTGGTGGTATCTTAGAGAGGGCTGGGATGGGACAGGATAACAGCTTATGAGCCATAAATGCAAGTGTTAAAAAGTATTCTTTAATATTGTGTATCCAGATAAATAATAATTTTGACCTGAATGGCTCTCAGTTGACTATTATGTTAATTGCAAGTAACAAGTAAAATAGATTGAAATGGATATATATTTGTCAACTACTTTACATTGCACTCCCTCAGGGTTTGTCGACAGAAGTCCAGTCTCTGACACGGATGAGACTCCGCGGGGCCTGGAGGAGACTCCGCGTGTCCTGCCTCTCTTCTCCTGTTCACCCATTTCTCAAAATCTGCCTGTCCTCCATGACCCATACCAGGCAAACTTTCTGGAGAAGGTGAGAGGTAGTGTTTTGATGCTACTGATAGTAGTTTTTTGATGCTTCTAAGCTAGAACTATGTGGGTGGGTGCAAATTGGTCGTATGTATGTAATTACCTATTTGCGTTTACAGGTGAGGGTGGGCTCTTGTTCTTGGTCATGCTTCTTTAAGTTTCCACTAAGGTGATTGACCCCTTTCATGTGTAGTTTTGGACTATTGTGTGTAATTCACTTCCACTGTGTTAATGATCAACTCATTCCACATCTTTACTACTTTTTTTACCACACCAGTTGTCTCCCACTGAGGCAATGACCCAATTATGAAGAAATGCTTTCATAGTTTTTCTTGTATAATGCCTGCACTCTAAAGGAGGGGTTTCGGGATATTAGCAGTTTGGAAGGATATGTTATGTATCTTTATACGTACAGTGGACCCCTGCCTTACGATGGCATCGCGTTAGGTTAAATCTGCCATACGATACATTTTAACGCAAAAAATTTACCTTGCCTCGCGCGATTCGTCCAGGACACATCCCACGTGTGGCCTCAGCTGCCCCGTGGGTGCCAGTGTTTACAAGCCAGCCAGTGCGGTTGCATCCACGCATACATTCGGTACATTTCACCTTATCCCAGTGTTTTTTGTGCTTGTAACTGCAAAATAAGTCACCATGGGCCCCAAGAAAGCTTCTATTGCCAACCCTGTGGTAAAAAGTGTGAGAATTAGTATGGAAATTAAGAAAGATTTTGAAGGGTTTGGGGCTAACCCTGAGAAGCATATGCCAGTTGTGGAATCAATTGTGGCAGTGGGGAAGTCCTTTGGGTTGGAGGTTAATGGGGACAATGTGGAAGAGTTGGTGGAAGAGAACAATGAAGAACTAACCACTGATGAGCTGCAAGATCATCTTCAACAGCAAGAGGCCAGACCTGAGGAAACTGCTTCAGAGGAGGGGAGAGAGAAATTGAGGAAGTTGCCTACTTTAAAGATTAAGGAAATGTGTGCAAAGTGGGCTGAACTGCAAACCTTTGCAGATGAAAATCACCCTGACACAGCTACTGCAAGCCGTGCTGGTGAGTATTACAATGACAATGTTATGGCCCATTTTAGGAAAGTCTTAAAGGAACGAGAGGTACAGAGCTCTATGGACAGATATGTTGTGCGACAGAGGTCCAGTGACTCTCAAGCTCAAGCAAGTCCTAGTGGCATTAAAAGAAGAAGGGAAGTAACCCTGGAAAAGGACTTGCTACCTAACGTCCTAATGGAAGGGGATTTCCCTTCTAAACAATAACAGCTTCCACACACTCCGCTCCTCCGATCCCATCATTCATCACCAGATCTTCAATAAAGGTAAGTGTCATGCACAGTATTCTATTCTTAGTAGAGTAGTATTAACTGTGTATGTCTTCTTCAGTTTGTGTATATTAAAATTAATATTTCATGTGGTAAATTTTTTTTTTTTTTCAGACTTTTGGGTGTCTTGCACAGATTAATTTGATTTCCATTATTTCTTATGGGGAAAATTAATTCTCCTTACGATAATTTCGGCTCACGATGCGCCCTCATGAACGGATTAATATCATAAGGCGGGGGTCTACTGTATATGCTTCTAAACTGTTGTGTTCTGAGCACCTCTGCAAAAACAGTGATTATGTGTGAGTGAGGTAAAAGTGTTGAGTGATGATGAAAGTATTTTCTTTTTGGGGATTTTCTTTCTTTTTGGGTCACCCTGCCTCGATGAGAGACGGCCGACTTGTTAAAAAAAAAAAAATAATGTGGGTAGATATATTGGTTTGTTTTTAACATTATTGTTTTTACATAGTGTTTTATTCTGCAGTATGGTGACACAGACTTCAGTGGAGAGTCAGATACAGATGAACCCAGTCAGCGGTGTGTACACAAGTACCTGTGCTCTAGAAGACACACTGTTGGACCTGGAGACACTCGTCATGAAGAGGTAGGTGCCTACTTTGGTAATTACATATTGAAGTTGTTGTTTGGTGTGTGTGTCATATACAGGTTGTCTTTAGTGCCGCTCTTTAAGGGTCACAATATGTTGAAGTAACTGTGTCGTCTGCCATATATTCCTAGCATTGTGTGAGGTCTGATAACCTCCCTCCTCCCTCTCCCCCACCATGAACATCAGGATATATACCGCCCAGCTTGCGGTCGTCTCCAAGGTATTAAGGTAATGGAAAGATACAGCATGTAGGTATCCTAAGTAAAAGATTTTACCCTTTTATTTCTCGACTAGTTACAGCACACACAACATATGATGATCTTTTGAGTTTTTCTTAGCCACTCAGTGAGTTTGTCATCACATACGTTGTGTGTGAAGTCAGCATGATTCACATAGATTTTTCCCCAGTTACGATTGCAGTGGCAAATTGGAGCTGTATTGTTGAGTGCTCGGATAAATACAAACCATAATGTTTACATGTTTAAAAAACAAGCTTTGCTTATCATGTGTTTGATTCAAGGATTTTCATTGCAGTGTGCACCCAGCATCACAGATACAGTTGTCTCCTACCTTAGTTCTGTGAGTCATGGATTTTAGAGTGACTCATGGACCCAGAAATGTTTCAAGGAATGATCTAGTGTAGTTAATGGTGCCTTCTTGGTCAGGAGGTTAATTGTCAGTTTGTCCACAGGTAATGGAAGCTCATATGCGAGGTCAGCTTCAGTTATTAGCGCCAGGAGGGTTGGGAGCGATGAGTGGCTATCCGATTCCTCCCATGTCCCTCCTTCCTCATACAAACTTGCCACAGAACCTTCCTCTAGTAAAAAACTTTCCTCCTCAAAACTTCTCCATCAAAGATCAACATCTTCTCAAACCACCACCTTTTATGCATCCTGGTAAGTATTTGAACAATATACCTCCACCTTTCATGCATCCAGGTAAGTACTCAAACAGTGTAAAACCACCTCTTATGCTTTGAGGTAAGTACCAGAACAATAAACCAGCACCTTTCATGCATTCAGGTCAGTACTGGAATAAACCACCAAAAACAGTATCTGTTTATTAGATTTTCAGAAAATTTATGAATGACAGTTTTTGCTAGAAAAATAGCTTGTTGAAAATGACATAAAATAGCTTGCAAAGTTAAGAATCATGTCTTTTGGTCATCTTTTGGAAAACAATAAAATATCTGTGAAATGCTATTATGGTTCCAATATGTAGGACAGGGACATGTATAAACAGTTTATATGCATACACAGTATTTCCCATTTATTAACATTTTTTGCTCTACAGTGAATGTCTGGATAACAAATTACGGATTGAGTTATGTGAGTTTTATGTTTTGTGCTTTAATGTACAGATGATGGTTATGAATATAATTTATAAAAAAAACTAAAATTAAAGAAGAATAAAAACTGTTTCACAGATGTGAATAACATCTTGTATTTTATTTTATGACACACAATAACCTAGGAAAGTGTTCAACTGGTAAGTTAGGTATGTGACTCCTGGGTGGGATAATAGCTCCTTCTTGTGAGACATGATCAAGCATGCTGTTGCTACTCTTGTTTACTATAATGCTCTTCAACAGCAGTGTTGTTACATCATTAAGGGCTCCTGATCCAATAAACTGGAACTATCCTACCTTTTTATCAAACCCCTGTATCTCTCATTCCCAGGCACTTATAACCCTTACGGGGATTGTGCTCCTTCCACGATACTATAATATTGTACTATAAACAGCATGCGTGAGCGTGTTAGATAGGAGTGAATGGAGACGAATGATACTTGGGACCTGACGATCTGTTGGAGTGTGAGCAGGGTAATATTTAGTGAAGGGATTCAGGGAAACCGGTTATTTTCATATAGTCGGACTTGAGTCCTGGAAATGGGAAGTACAATGCCTGCACTTTAAAGGAGGGGTTTGGGATATTGGCAGTTTGGAGGGATATGTTGTTTATCTTTATACTTATATGCTTCTAAACTGTTGTATTCTGGGCACCTCTGCAAAAGCAGTGATAATGTGTGAGTGTGGTGAAAGTGTTGAATGATGATGAAAGTATTTTCTTTTTGGGGATTTTCTTTCTTTTTTTGGGTCACCCTGCCTCAGTGGGAGACGGCCGACTTGTTGAAAAAAAAAAAAAAAAAAAAATGAGATGTGGAAGCAGACGACTTGCACAAGTGACGCCATATTAGAAATGATAATAATAACAACAATAATCACCGAGTCTCATTAAATGTTGTATATTACGTTAATATACACATTTTCATTAATCCATCCATGATATTTTTTTCAAAATTATATAATAAACACGATACATAACATAAAAAGACGATAAATACACCCCACAATAGAATAAATAAACATAAATATGAGATGTGGTAGCCAGGTTACTTGTACAAGTGACGGCAAGAATAACATTTTCTCTAATCTAACATAAGAGAAAATGTGTTACTGGGGGTAACTGTAGAAAATTATTCCTTTTGTATGTATGTAAGTTTATTCAGGTATACACAAATACAGTTACATAGATTATCATACATAACAACATATGTGTAGAGAACCTAGGATAACCCAAAAAAGTCAGAGTGACTTATTTCCATTGCCTTCACTCAGAGTGTCATTTCTTCTCAAAATGATGTTACATGAGAATGGGAGTGTTCTTTATTTATTCTACCGTATCAATGTAGAGACAACTTGTACACAATGTAACTTGTACACACACCAGACGTGTACACTTTTTTGTTTACAAAACTTACGTTTGCCTGGTTTGTTTACATAACTCGGCACCTGTCCTCTCTCATGCACTCATTCTTTCTCTCTCTCATTTATTCATTTTATCTCATTTACTTACTCCTGACCCTACATTAAGACTACAAATATTTTAAGGTAAGTAATGAGTGAACTGTATATACATTTTATTGCTCTGGGATGCTTAAATGTAATAGAATATTATGTGGGTGGGGTGACCTGGTATGGTAACCCGGCTGACTACTATACATACCACACTTGATTTCTTACAATAAATACTGCTTGTCTCACCCTAGATTAAGACTATAAATATTTTAAGGTAAGTAATGAGTGCCCTATGTGTGTATTGTACTTTTTTATTGTTTTTTGATGCCTGGTTCTATTGCTAACTTAATATATGTTAGTGTAAACTTGTTATCTAGTGTTTGTATGCATTTATAAGTGGAAAAAAAAAAGGGGTGTTCCACTTTACGGCGGTTTCCGCTTTATGGCGGTAGCCTGGAACCTAACCTGCCGTATAAGTGGGGCCCTACTGTATATTGATATTGGTAACAGCAGCAATTATATAATCAACACATTAGCCATGTGGAGTACTACAATATATACCTTAATTCCTCCATGTTTTATATATACTTTACATAATGTTTACCTCCAGACCTTATGAGAATGAAATGCTCAAATTTAGTGGTTTATCATATTGAATAGCTACAGTTGCAATGTGATTACTTCTGCCGAAATAATTAATGTGTATGCATGTCTGCAGCAGGTGGATTGGGTAGACGAGCATCGGATGGAGGAGCCAACCTTCAGATGTACTTTCAGCGGCAGTTTCCTGATGGAGGCTGGAGCCATCCGAACAGTCAAGAGCAAATTACGCAGGTAAGAACTAGTCTTGAGCTGTCATACATATTTTAGAATGTCAATAAATTTGTTATTTTGTGGCTGTAAATATAGTTAAATGTCTCCAGTCTAGCATTCCATACTCCAGAAATTTCCATTATCAGACACTGAGCAAAATTAGGGTAGTCACTGTAATGGCACCCATGTTCCACCAGATTACATTTAAGAAAAACACAAATTTTCACAGACTTTTTACAACGGTTTCAGAGGACTGTACTCATACAAAATCTGTAAGTACACACAATCTTAATCATACCTGATGGGTTTTATGCCTGAAATAAACAATGATGATCCAACAGTCAGTTTTACACCAGCTTCTGTGATGGATGAAATGACAGACCTGCTTCCTGTTTTCCCACAATCAGTTGCATTTAATGCTGCCACTAGTTCTACATCTGTGTAACAGCTGACTTCTACCTTCATGTTTTTTGTTTTTTTAACATGTTGGCATAAGGCACTTTTCAACATCCCTGGAGTCAGTCTCTCACTATGCAAAAATGCTATGCACATAAAAGGCCTGAAGATCTGGAACTCGCTACCGTAACAGGTCAAGGATTCCCTGACAGCTTATAAATTTAGGACTTTGCTAAAAAATCATCTTATCTCTCAATATTAACCAAATCAACCAAAACATTTGCTAACTAGTTTTATTATGTGACCTCTGGGCTCTTAATTCTGCCAGTCCATAAAATCATCATCTTTCTTTCAACACACCGGCCATATCCCACCGAGGCGGGGTGGCCCAAAAGGAAAAACGAAAGTTTCTCCTTTTAAATTTAATAATATATACAGGAGAAGGGGTTACTAACCCCTTGCTCCTGGCACTTTAGTCGCCTCTTACGATACGCATAGCTTATGAAGGAAGAATTCTGTTCCATTTCCCCATGGAGAATAAAATCGTCTTATCTCTCAATATTAACCAAATCATCCAAAACATCTGCTAATTAGTTTTATCATGTGACCTCCTGGCTTTTAATTCAGCCAATCCATAAAATATTACCACCTGCACCATTACTTGTAAGGTAGATTTTTGTGTGCAATTTCAAGATTATTTTACTGAACCCTACTCCACCTAACTACCTCTTCACTTGTATTAAGTTTAAATAAGATTGTAAAACAGTTAACCACTACTTCTTGTTTTAAGTACAGTAGGACCCCGCTTTATGACGTTTCGCTTTACGGTGTTCCGCTAATACGGCCATTTCAAATTATGACCAAAACTCACTCTACGGCTCCCCCACCTGACTTTCTAGTATGGTCACCGCGCCCCACCTGGTTTGTTTACATTCTCTCTGAGATCCAAGCACTAAGTCTTTCCATTATGTCTGGAAACAACAAAATTTCAAGTGTTTCTAAAAGTTATTTCATATTTTATATATACAGTAGGGCCCCACTTATACGGCGGGTTAGGTTCCAGGCTGTCGCCGGAAGGCAGAACGCCATTTTTTTCCATTTATAAATGCATATAAATGCCAGACAACAAGTTTACACTAAATTATATTAAGTTAGTAATAGAACTAGGCATTAAAAACACACAAAGTAAAATACATTCACAGTAAATTCATTACTTATCTTAAAGTATTTGTAATCTTAATGTAGGGAGAGAGGTGAGTAGTACTTATTTGTAGGAAGTCAGGTGCAGGTAGCCCAGGTTTAGGTAGTCCTGGCTCCCCGTCTCATACTTAATATACGATATTTAAAACATCCCAGAGAGGTAAAATACACATACAGTACAGCTCATTATTTACCTTAAAATATGTGTAGTCTTAATATAGGAAGAGAGGTGAGTAGTATTTATTTGTAGGAAGTTAGTGTAGGTAGCCGGTAGGTGTAGCCCGCCTGGGCTACACCTACCGGCTACCTTCACTGTGGCCCAGAGCCATATTATTAACATCGACATGCCTTGTTCACTGAATTTAATCATTTCTAACAACTATCTTTAGATGCCATCATAAACGAAGGTAGAAGTAATGAATAATTCATGCCGAAAATTGTAAACAAAAGCGGAGTGAGGGAGTGGCTGGGCCAAACGCAGATTCATACATGTTTTCTCTGATGGCTGAGCAGAGAAAACGTAATGTTGTCCCTCCACCCGGCTACCACACAGCTCCACAAGTATTATTATCAGAGCACACATAAAATATGCAATAAATGCCAGGCAACAAGTTTACACTAACTTATATTAAGTTAGCAATAGAAATAGGCATTAAAAACACAATAAAAGGTAAGATACACACAGAGTACACTTATTACTTACCTTAAAATATTAATATTAATGTGTGAGAGGTGAGTGGCAGGGTGTTTATTGAATAAAATCAGAATGGCACACCATCATCCTCTATCTTGGCACTTAAATCAAGAGGCTTATGACCTCTCTTTTTATCACAGCTAACCTCTCATCATCAGTGAGAGCCAACTAGTTAACGAAAGAGTAAACAAAAGAAAGAACGAGATACAGAGTTGAGACAATGTAAGAACACAAACTGAACAGGTAGTGGACGATCACTTGGTCAGGCGAAATAAATGCGTATTAATATGTGTCTGCTTTTAGTTCATTCATGTCCATTTGTAAGAGTTTGTAAAACTTTTACCTCAATATTTTTTTATTATACAGTGGACCCCCGAGTTTCGGCAGCCTTGACTTTCGCGAAATTCGACCTTTGGCAAGTTTTTTTTTTTGGAAAAATTTGGCCTCGAGTTTCGTGAAAAAACTTGTGTTTCGGCGACCGTCTGGTACCCGTCCGCCCGTCACCACGCACACAAAGCCAGTCTCCCACGCCATTCACGCACAGTGTGCCATTGTTTACCAACACGTGACCATCACCCCGCGGGTTCATACAATACATTTCACAATAATCCATTGTTTTTTGTGCTTGCAACTGCTAAGTAAGTCATCATGGACCCAAGGAAAGCTAGTGCAAGCCCTTTGGTAAATAAAATGAGTGACGGGGATGTGGAAGAGTTGGTGGAGGACTACAGGGAAGAGCTAACCACTGACGAACTGCAAGAGCTTCAACTGGAACAGCATCAGACCACAACCAAGGAACTTGCTTCAGAGGAGGAGGAAGAGGTAGTGGATGAGGTGCCTTCTTCAGTGATTAAGGACATGTGTGAAATGTGGAATGAGTTGCAAAGTTTTGTTGAAAAGTATCACCCTGACCAAACTGAAACAAGCCGTATCTGCAACATGTACAATGACAGTGTTGTGTCCCACTTCAGGGAAATCTTAAAGAAACGCCAGAAAAAGACCTCTCTGGATAGATATTTTGTGCGCCAGGGGTCCAGTGACTCTCAAGTTGTTCCCAGTGGCATTAAAAGAAGAAGGGAAGTAAACCCAGATAAGGACTTGCTACCTAAAGTCCTAATGAAAGGAGATTCTCCTTCCAAACAATAGTGTACACCTTCCTCCTATCCCCTCCTCCCGTCTTCCATCCACGCAGAAGTCTTCAGTAAAGGTAAGTGTAATGTTATTATTTTTTTTTTAAATGCATGTACTTGATTTCTGATTGTTTTCATTATGTAAATCTTTATTTAATTTGAAAAAAAAATTATTTTAATATTTTTGGGTGTCTGGAACGGATTAATTTTATTTCCATTATTTCTTATGGGGAAAATGGTTTCGAGTTTCGTGAATTTCGACCTCGGCGGGCTCTCTGGAACGGATTAATCACGAAACTCGAGGGTCCACTGTATTGCCTTTTCCTTAATTAACATAACTGAGAGAAGGAGACGCACAAATACATTCATTATATACAGTGGAACCTCTACTTGTGAGTTTAATCCATTCCATGACCTTGCTCGCAACTGGATTTGCTCGTTTGTAGAGTCAGTTTTCCTCGTTTAAATTAATTGAAATGCAATTAATCCGTTCCAGTGGAATTCTGTACTTCAGTAATTTTGCTATCATCAACTCTATGGCTTATTTATCTATCACAGTTCATCTAGTATGACATAACAAGCAATATAAATAACATAGAAACCTGATATATACTCTAGAATGAATAAAATATGTCATTATATATGTGGCAGCGGCGGTGGCTGACAAGAGTTTGTCTGGAGACAGGACAAAATACTCCTTGAATATTTCGCTATCATCAACTCTACGGCTTACTTATCTATCACAGTTCATCTACTATGAAATAATAAACAATATAAATAACATAGAAACCTGATATATACTCCAGAATGCATAAAATGTCATTATGTAACAGGTGGAAGTGGCCACAACTGCTCCCTCTTTGTTGTGGTAAACACTGCCATCTAGTGACGGCCTTTTGAAGTTGTCTGTTATTATAATTATTATTATGTAGTACATTATTATTATATATGTATTATTATTATGCATATTATTATTATTATTATTATTGTATTATATTATTATACTATTATTATATGTATTATTATTATTATACATATGATTATTATTATTATTATTATTACATTAAGAAGCATCTTTCCATCATACATTGCAAAGTTTCAATAAGATAGTCCAACAAACAAATGAGATACAATTCCCTAGATCAAAAGCAAGAGCCCCTCACCAGCATCAAGGCACCTGCCTTGATGTCTGCTCGCTTATGGAAATTTTGCTGGCGTATGGAAGCAAAAAATTGACCCATCGACTGCTCGTAATTTGGAAAAACTCGCACATGGATGCGCTCGCAAGTAGAAATTCAACTGTATCTAAAATGAACACTTTTCTGAAAACAGGAAGTGAATGGTGGTAAATATATATATTTTTGGGTTACCCCGCTTTGGCAGATGGCCATTGAGTAAAAAAAAAAAAAAAAAACAGTTTCGTGGTTGGTTTTCATTCTGTGTATTTAAGTGTACTTGAGCAAAATATAGGTAATGTTTTGTCTATAATCGAGTTTTCTTGTTTATACAATATCACATCTATAATCTGGAAAAAATTTTACTCCCTCACCTGTTTGGCCCTATACATGCTGGACTGCAAATGTTCAACTGTAATACATTTGGAAAATTTGTTGGTTAGTGTAACTGAAAAGTGAATTTTTAGGACTACATCCATGTATGTGTATGTAGAAAATCTGAATGTTACTTTGATAAATTTCAGAACAGTTTTCAGATATATGTATAATGAAAGTGACAAAAAATACTGATAAATTTGTTAGACCAAATTTGGAATAGTCATTGGCAGTGTGGTGTCATCACCTGAAGAATTGTGAATAAAATAGGAAAAGTTCAACGACATCTAGCAAAATGGCTCGCATTACTAAGAGCTGTAAATTATGAAGAAAGATTGACAACTCTGAATTATTATTATTATAATCAAAGGGGAAGCGCTAAACCCGTAGGATTATACAGCGCCCGGGGGGGGGGGATGTGGAAGGCATTCAGGCTTAATTCGGGGAACTGGAGCACAGTTCCAATTCCCTAAATCAAGAGCCCCTCACCAACATCAAGGAACCTTCCATGAGGGGAACAACTCTGAAGCTTTTCTCAGTGGATAATAAGGGAAAAACAGAAGGCATAGCCAAATACAAGATGAGATATAAAAAACATTTAAAGATAAAACTTGGTGCTAGTAACGGGGAAACCAAGAGCCTATAATTATAGAGATAAAAATGTGTCCAAGGGATACTAGCACATATTACTTCACAAGAAAGAGTGCTAGATTGTTGGAATATGATCCAACAGGAGGTAGCATGTATTACTTTCACTAGAAACTACAAAAAATTATGGCAAACACTAGATGGGACACCACAAGTATAGCTCTGTTCCTGTAACTAAAAATTCATAATCACTTATAATTCTGTTACTCTCCTCTTGTACATACAGTGCAGTACAGTCATGGTATTGTGCCTTTTTATTCTCTGTACAGTATAAACCCCTCAAGGGAGGTTCCTTGATGCTGGTGAGGGGCTCTTGATCTAGGGAATTGGATCTGTGCTCCAGTTCCCTGAATCAAGTCTGAATACCTTCCATTCCTCCCCCCCACATGCGCTGTATAATCCTATGGGTTTAGTGCTCTCCCATGATCTTTCTTTCTTTCAACACACCGGCCGTATCCCACCAAGGCAGGGTGGCCCAAAAAGAAAAACGAAAGTTTCTCTTTTAAATTTAGTAATTTATACGGGAGAAGGGGTTACTAACCCCTTGCTCCTGGCATTTTAGTCGCCTCTTACAACACGCATGGCTTACAGAGGAAGAATTCTGTTCCACTTTCCCATGGAGATAAGAGAAAATAAACAAGAACAAGAACTAGAAAGAAAATAGAAGAACACCCAGAGGGGTGTGTATATATATGCTTGAACATGTATGTGTAGTGTGACCTAAGTGCAAGTAGCAAGACATACCTGAAATCTTGCATGTTTATGAGACAGACAAAAGACACCAGCAATCCTACCATCATGTAAAACAATTACAGGTTTTCGTTGTACACTCACTTGGCAGGACGGTAGTACCTCCCTGGGCGGTTGCTGTTTACCAACCTACTACCTAGGTCTCCCATGATTATAATAATAATAATAATGTGCAGTATAATGTTCTTATTTCTTTCCAGCTGGGTCTAGGTGCCAGTTGTCTAGGGGGTCACTCCCAGCCACTGCCTCAGCAAGATGATGACCTTCTGGGTCACAGAGATGATGAAATTGACCCTAGTGATATTGCCCAGTGAGTTATAAAGCTTATATTATTCCAGTGGCTCATAATTAAATTCTAAAGATTCACTTGAAAATTATAGGAATCCCTAGTGTGTCAGTTTGTCATAGGTGCATGAGAGTTGCAGTTCAGAGGTTAATTGAATTATGGACATGCACTTCTGTAAAGATGGCCAAGGTTAAGCAATGTTGAATGTATTTTTTCTTTGGTCTACTTGGTGGGAAATGGCCAGTGTTGAGAAAAATAGCAGTTAAATCAAAATTCATTATTAATGACAGGTTAATTTTTAAAATCTTTGTGCTTAAACAGGTACATGGCAGGTAGAGGAAGCATCCAGAGAGCAACATTACCGCTGGTCACACCTAAGGACGGTCAAGAACCCCAGAGAAAGATGCCACCTAATAGAGCAAGAAAAACTGGGTTACCTATGGTGACAGAAAGACCACCTGGTAAGGCATATGAGAATTACATGACCACCAGAGATGCACTAACAATAGTCTTGTCAATTTCTTTTGTTTCATCTCTGGTTAACGAAACTTTTTTTTTTTTTTTTTAATAAATTTCTTTTGGCACTAAAAGTTCAAAGATTGTGTTGGAATGAATTAGTATTATTTTTACAATACTAAAAATATAAATTTTATTTTTGCCTATTCAGTGTCTTTTAGTTTGCTTTCAGTTAATCAGAAGCTGAAACTTGATGTAATATGTCGTGGTACCTTCAACTTGTGGACCACAATAATCATAGTCATAGACCAGTTTATTTCATGCTCTGTATCTGTCAAGTTTTTAATATTAGTCCTAAGTGATGGTAGATGATGCACTCTTGCATTATATTTAGTAGTAGTAGTAGTAGTAGTTTTGAGTGAGCAGCATGCCGCTATGTGTTGGAGTGTACACTGCTGGTAGTCAAAAGCTGCATGAGACTGTTTTTTATTCTTTTTTTTATATTACTAGTTTACACTTTTTTATCATTTTTTCTCCTTAATTTAAAGTTTTACTCATTTTGTTTGTTCTCTCTCTACCTTCCTTAATCCTTATCCCTGCCTGCCTCTGATGCCTGCGTGATGCCATTTATTATTTGCTGACTTGGCCCATTATTTTCGTTAACTTTGCTTGCTTCATAATTGCTCATATTGTGTCTCGCTTGTATGGGAAATCACTGATTGTATTCCCATTGTTGTAACACTTGTCTGAAAAAACATTATGCAATTGATTGGAATAAAAAATTATAAAAAATGTTTTCTCATTTTTCATTTTATTGTTATTACTTCAATATTCTTATATGCCAATGTAATTAATGGCACTTGCACACAACATCGTGTGGCTGATTAATAGTAATCAATCCAGAATTAAGACTGGAAGCCGAAGAACGAATGAAACGAGACTATACGTCATCCCACCTGCAAAATCTATATAACAATGCCCTGCTTATGGGAACTCCATTGGCCCCAGGCATTACTACAGGCATTCCTCCATCTTCGAGCGCAAATTATGCCATCAAACCAGGCATCGTGTCCGGCATTCCCCATCCTCAGTCCTCCAAAAGACTTCCAACTACTTCTCCTCATAACTTGTCCAACCATCCTTATATTGGGTACAGCTGTTGTTCTCCACCACTTAGTATACCCTCCTCATCCTTTGTTTCCCAATCATGTTCTTCTTCTTCATCTTGTTCCTCCACTTCCCATCCTTCTCCCTCCACAACCCCAGGGATAATCTCAGGTATTCCACCCCATAACAACAACAACAACATCGTCAACAACAACAATCCATGGCAAAAACACAGAGAACGAAAGAGAAAGACTGGCCTTCCCACAGTGCTGGAAAATAACTGGGTTGTCTCGGCTCCAGCAGAAGCGACTGATTGCACCACAGTGGGTAATTATAATGGGCCTTAGCCATGTTTTGGTGATTGGACAAAGCGAATGTGGCCTTTCAGATGGTGGTGGTGACGGGATTGATGGTGGCGGTGATATTTTTATTTATTTTTTTGGTTTATAACCAAGCATTAAAATAATGTTGATGTTTACTGGAATAAAATAAAATTATTAGAAACTAGTACAGTGAATTATGTAAATTAACTAAATGCTTCTTGAATAAACTACTGTAGTTTTCCTTCAGTATATTTGCTTAATAACTCTGATATGGCTATATACAGTACATTATGAGCTTCATTGAATTTGTCTCATTCTTTTATTGTATATCTGCCTCACAGTCTTTCTGTCTCTAGGTCTCTGTTTCACTGTCTGCCTCAACATCAGTCTCACTTTGTGTCTTGTTTTAGACTGTCATTTATGGCCAGAAGGCATACTTTGCCTATTTATAAATTTTTGGACAAAACACACTCTGCCCACTTGCTAATTATGGCAAGGCATTTTCTGACTGCTTGTTATAGATAAAGCATTCTCTGACCACTTTTTAATTTATGTGTGAAGCATTTTCTGCCCAGTTTTAGATAAAGTTGCAACCCAGTAACATTGGAACACTGGTCTTTCTTATGGAGCATTTTGTTCTTCTGAAGACAACCTTAACTTTCTGGGGGCATTTGTTATTCTTAGCCATATTTTGACTTTTAGTTCATCTGGCAGTGGCTAATCTTAAGGTATATTGGTATATATATTTTTTAGTTTATTTGTGCAAGCCAACACTTAAAAAGTGCACCCTGCATGCTGTGTGCATGTCTCGGCGACTGTCCTGAATGTTTTTGTTAATGAATCGCACCTTGAATGTTGAGTGATCCTAAGCATTTTTATATCTTGATAAAGTCCCTGTGAATGTTCCTATAACTCTGTCACTGTTACTCAACTCCATTATTCTAGGTTTTGCAGTGTGATAGCACAATTTGGTTGTATAAAACATCATTTGATGTCCTTATAACTCCCTTAACGCTTTCATTGTCTGTGCCATAGTACTATGGGTTTGAGGTCACTGTCGGTGCCATAGTACTACACGATGAGCTCAGCTCACTCAGATAAGCTGTGAGTGGTAAATTTGGGCCTAGATGTAAGAGAATGGGTCTATACGGTAAGTGTGCACCACATAAAAAAAATCGTGTAGCATGCAGTGCATAATGAGGAAAAACTGTGACTGTGTTTTCAGTTTAAAACAGCCACTTTGCGGTGTATTTTTGTATGGCTTTTATGGTTGTATTCTCTGTTTCTTGGTCTCATTTAATAGAATGGAAGATATATTACAGAAATAGAGATGATTTTGATTGGTTTCAAGACTAAAAATAGGTTAAAATTGAGCTCAAAGTGTTCAATTTTTGCTGATATTCAAGAGTAAACACATCACTTCACTCATCAATACATGTCCAACTGGTGGGTCTGATATGCTTTCATGAATGCACTGATATTATTTATACCACTATTACAATATTGCATAATAGTAACCTCTATTTTTTGTGTGAATAAAAAATCAAAATGGAATCCATATGTAAAGCCTGGGAATGTAACTAATGAACAGAGGAAATGTTATTTTAGTGCCAGGAATGCCTGCATTGTTAATTCTGGACCCTATTTTGAAATTAGAATATTTTGAAATTTGTGTGAAATTGGCCAAATTATAAATTTTTGATCACTTTATTGAGTAGTTGAAATAGTTGACTATGCAGTTTCTTCTGCTCATTTGATAAAGTGGAAGACATACTAGTGAAATTGCTAAAAATTTGATCTACTAGGAGAATGTAATTGGCCTAAAATAGGACTCTAAAGTGGGCAAAATCACTGAAGTGCAAATATCAGACACAGGAAAATTTGCGAAAGCATAATTTCGCCAGTTCTCCATAAAATTTCATACTTTTTGTTTTATTACCTTCAGAAAAAGATTCTTTACCATTTCAAAAGAAAAATCAACATTTTTTTTTTTTAATTCGTGGATGCTGTGAACAAGTTTAGACTGGGGGTCTGGACAATGAAAGACTTAATGTAAGAGAATCCTTTAATTTATAATTTCACAAGTTTACAACAAGCTGTAATGATTATTGTAATAAAAATCTAAGTTGTTTCATCTGGGGTGAAGGTTCTTCTCACATTGTTTTTAAAAGCTGCCATCTATTATTTTTAATAGTATATTTTTGTGTGTCAGACATATGGTGTGTTCATGCATACCTTGCAGGTACTTTGTTCATTGTGTTGTATACAAGAAACTTCTGTATCCACTGTCTACTTGAATTACATCAACATAATGCAATAATGTTGCAAAAGTGGTTCAATTCCCTGATGCAAATCATTTATGTTGTTTAACTAATGTTTATGGCCATAAAGGCAATTTTTTTTTTAAGTGATATAAAACTTTGGGTTGCAAGTAATTTCTGTTATAATTTGCTTTTTTCCACTCCCCTCCTAATCGTTCATGTTCCATTTTTTTATATCAATTTATGTTCTGCTGGTACTTATATGCTTGAAGCATTTTTTCATAGAAGGCAAGTGATAAATGTGAAAATACAATAAATTGAATGGCTAGAACTTAAATAAAAAAACATGAAAATGGCACCAAATGACCAAGCTGGACAACAACCTCACAGTTGTGCATGTTCTTACGTACAGTATTTGAGTTTGTGGGTGGTGAGCTCAAGCTCGTGGTCCCACTTTATGTTTAGTGGTAACTGTATCACACTTTCCTAATGCTTTCATGTGATGAAGCAAGTGATAAATACTGTTAAAGAAATTAAACTTATGGCATTGGGTTTAAAGAAGTAAAATGTCACTCCAGTATAAGGTCATGTTACAGCCAGCTGGGTTTGCACGGTTGTTAAAAATTAAAAATTTTTGCTTAAATAATTGTTTTTAATAATGCTAGCTTGTTTCTTTGTTTAATTCTTATAATAGTTAATATGAGATTTTGAGATTTGAACCATAGCATTTTCTTACACAGAAACATCTAGCAACTAGACTGGATTGTATTGGATTATCTGGCCTCAGTCACCTGCAGAAGCATTAGCAGCAACAGTGAACCTGAGAGCGTTTTATTTTTATCACCTACCATTAATTGCTGCTTCGTATTATGTGCCAAGTGTATACGAGTCATAAACTCGTGTCATATATTCTGGTTTGACCCAGCGATGAACTTTTATGCCCTATTGTTTTTTGTATTCTTGACTTAACTGGTTTGTCTCCTATCAAATTTTTGGAGTTTGTTGGTAGACAATAGCCATTAGGGAAGTCTTACTGTCCTGCTGCAGGAGTGTGAAATGGAAGCGTATTAAACATTTTGCGCTCTGGCAGTCTTGCTGGTCTGTTCATTCTGTCTCAAGAATTATACAAGATGTCAAGAGAGATAATATGAGGAAATTCTTGAGGAACTTGCCAGGAATATGCAGAGTGGGAAGATAGAGGTAGGGAAAACAGAAAAGAAATAATGGAAGAGACAGATACTCAAGACAGGAAAGAAGAGACGGTAATAAGGAATGCAAGATGGTGACAAAATTCAATGGAGTAGAGATGACAGTAGCAGGAAAATAAAACCAAAACAACCTGGAGAAATAAGACTCTTGGGAAGGTAAAAGAGAAAATCCAGAGAATTTCTCATAAAAGGGAGAATGAGTCGACCACAGTAAATGTTGGCAGTAATGGCATCTGCAAATACTTTGTTGAAAGGATGTGCATATTTGGGAGAAAATTCTGGTATCAACACACCAGAAAATTTTCACATGTAAGGAATGGAAAGTGTAATTTTGAAAAGGAATGCAGGTACTTCCATCTAGAGCTGTGCAAAACCTCGATGCAGCTATGACCTTAACTGCTCAGACTACCGTGTGAAAGGAAAGTGGTACTACTGAGAAAGCAGGGGTATGAAAAATGAGCAGCTTTCTTTTTTTAGATGAAAAGCAAAATGAGTGGACCCAAAAAAGGGGGACAAATGGAAGTACAGCAGGTAGTACAGAGGTGCATAGCAGTGGGACAAACCAAGTCAGTCTTACACTCAACAGGGTTGAACATACAACAGACAAGTGTACAATCGATTGTGGAGAAAGCTGGGATATGTACACCAGGTGCCATATGAGGTAGTACATTTCAAATGGTACTATCAAAATGCACCTAACCAAAACATCTCAATTGATAAATCCTGCTTCCTTTTTGCAAGCATTCTGGGTTTGAAATAAAATAAAAATGACAAAGTTAGTTATATAGTGAGCTCCTCACAGAAGTGACTGCCATGTTTGGATCATTTTCAGAAACATACAAGGGATGTTTTGGACAGTGAGATAAAAATGAACTATAATAATGAACTGTAATATGTACAGATGTGAAAGTTAATAGGCCACAGGGAGGAGTAGGACTATGTGGAAGATACTTTTTATTGCACAAAATTGCTGAACCATTGGGTGGATTAGAGAGCATGCACTGTAGTTCATTTTTCTGTAGTATTTCATTGCCAGTTGAAAAGTTTGGGGCCATAGGGTGATGATTGCCATAGCTAGTGTCAGATATAGACCACATGAACATGTTACCCATACGTATCCATCTGTTGTCCTCCCTGTACCTTACTCCTTTGACAGCTGAGAAAAGAAATGAATGATTGTCTCATGTTAAGGAAAACTAATGGTACTCATTATAGTCAAAGTGTTAGTTATTGTCATGTCACCATGACCCCTGCAAAACTTGTTGTTTTACCAGGTAAGGTGGCCCAAAGACAGAAACATTTATTATTCATTTTCTAGTTGTCTTGGCAGAACCGTACTGGCATCACATTTCAAATAACCCACCAGGTTGCAACATCCCCACCTCAGAATCTCAACTAACCAACTTCTTGAAATTTTTCATGGATATTACTGTGCCAGGACATCCATCGTCTGTTCATTCAGAACAATGGCAATCAGTTTATTAATAAGTACTTCAGCCATGTACTGTGCATTCAGACAACCCATTTCAAGAATTTTCTTAATAAATGAGACACTTGTGTAACATTTGGGTATCTTTATTATGGAAAGGTTTCACCAGCTAATGACTTCTTCAGTTCAGTACAGAGAATAATGGTGGAAGACAAGGAGGAGTTTTAGGTAGTCAGTCTCTGAGCCTGGAGTCGATGCATTCTGTTCATCAGTCTTGATTGATTGATCAAGATTAATGGACTGAACACAGACTCCAGGCTGAGGGACTGATTACCTCAAACTCCTCCTCATCTTCAACTATTCTTCTCTCTGGAAATAAATGGTATAAAATACCGACACAATGGAAATATAAACACATATGCAGTGAGCAAAGTAACATTTATGAAGGGGTTCAGGGAAACCGGCAGGCCGGACTTGAGTCCTGGAGATGGGAAGTACAGTGCCTGCACTCTGAAGGAGGGGTGTTAATGTTGCAGTTTAAAAACTGTAGTGTAAAGCACCCTTCTGGCAAGACAGTGATGGAGTGAATGATGGTGAAAGTTTTTCTTTTTCGGGCCACCCTGCCTTGGTGGGAATCGGCCAGTGTGATAATAAAAAATAAAAAATATATGCAGTGACTTGAAAAAGCCCACTGTGTGGGCAAAATGTAGTCAATAAAGGATCACATTATACTGCATATGTGTTTATATTTCTATTCTTCTCTCTGTTGGACTGAAGAAGCCACTGACTGGCAAAACATTTCCAGAATAAAGTCACCCAGATGTTGCACAAGCATTTCATTTATCAGTTTGTAAGTTATCTAAACCATTTATACAGAATTTTTCTTAATTTTTTTTTATTTTAGTATTTTATATAGAAAAGGGGTAATGGTCCCCTTATTCCCAGCATTTTAATTGCCTGTTCTGACACACACAGCTATAGGGAAAAAACTCCAAACAAACTTTCCTAGAGGAATTTGAAAAAAAAAAATAATAACCAGAGTAAATACAAGTTCATATTGAATTTAAGAAGGTTGTAATACTCACATGCCATCTTACATATTCATGAGACATAAGAATGAGTCAGCAATACTACCAGAGTGCAAAATATTTAGCAGGATTCCATTTCACTATTCACCTGATAGGATGGTAGTATACACTCAATCTTTTTCATTGGGGTTATCTCATGCTGTTGTGGGGCACTGTAACAAAGAAATCAAAGGGCACCATGTTTCTAAACTGTTCTTATATTTATGAAGTCATATTTGTGTGGCTGCCCTGCATTAGCTGGTTAGTCTCTAACAATGCCTTCAAACAGACTAAAGTTAACATAATAGCATTCTTGTTCTCTCTTAGTATTCATCTTTCAACTATTGTATGTAAATAGTCTATTTATTTATTGATTTTAAGGAGTAATTATGATGAATGAACATTATACTGTAGTTGAGATCTTCCTTTGCACTTGTAATTCTTTTAATAATTTAAGTGAATAATGATTGTAACTGGACATCATAGAGATATTTTCTGATACTTAAAATTTATTAGTTGATATTATAGTTGCATGAAGTAAGTGTTGTGTGTTTTAATTTTGTAGGATAATCAGAATAATTTAATTAGACATCATCAGCTTTGCTGACATTTAAAAAAGATGTCCAAAAAAATTATACTACTCACCAGACTGTAGAACAAATATTTTAAAATATATTTTTTATAAAGTTCAGTAGAACAAATCAATATCATTTGAGTGTCTCCCACAATATTAAAATGAGTTTTGACTTTACAGGTAGAGAAAATTATAAGGATTCCATATATCTCACCTCGGATCGTTACTCCCCGGGAAACATTATGCGCCGGGCATCAGATTCGGCCACCTTCAGCCTCTCCAATATAAATCAAGAATTCCAGCAACTTCAGGTATGGAGCCGTGAACAACTTGACTCTGGGTATACCTTATATTTTCATGTCTTTAAATAATAAACAACACAAATAGGAGAGTGGAAGTGGAGGAGAATTCTTCCTCTGTAAGCCATGCGTGTCATAAGAGACGTCTAAAATGCTGCGAGCAAGGGAGCTAGTAACTCCTTCTCCTATATATATTACTAAATTTAAAAAGGAAAACTTTTAGTTTTTCTTTTTAGGTCACCCTGCCTTGGTGGGATACGGCTGGTTCGTTAAAAAAATAATAAGGCGAGTACAATTAGGAAGCATGTCTGTCTCGCACTCAGGAGACGGAGGATCAAACCTCCACCATATCATGATCTGAATGATGCATATGGGTTCAGTAGTTAAATAATTTTAACCCTTTGACTGTCGCAGGTCCCTTTCTGAAACTCATTCTATGTCGCAAAGTATTCGAAAAAAAAAAGTTTTTTCTTACCAAAATGTTAGGATTATTTTACTGAGTGTTTTAAGCCTAAAAAAATTTTTTTGCCATCAGTACTTACCGAGATAGAGGCGCAAAGTTGGCAGAAAATGAGCAGTGTATGGCAACAGCAGCGAATGCCATCCACCCAGTATTCTTTTATTTACTCCAATTCGAAGGTTTCTTGTATTTTCCAATATTTTTCTTTTCTAAGTAACTTATGTAGCCTGTGAGACCAAAGTAAGGTGCGTTATTCAAATATACACTCATTGTTTACAACACAATAACTGAACAAACATTATGACTATTAGAGTGTGTACAAAACTTGTTTACACAAACAAACAATACAAAGCATTGTTTATTACTATTGTTCCATAATATATATACATATGTACAGTCACTGAACACTTTCCTAGAACTGCTGCAGCTTGTGGAACTCTTTGAAACATGGGTATATGCAGAGTGGTACTTGACACTCCTCACACATAAAACAAGTGTCTCTGCGTGTTTGTGGGCATTTTGTGGTATGTCCACATACAAAATACCTCTTCTGAGCACTTTTCTTAAAAGCAGTAGGAGACAGTTGTATGAGGTAGTGATCACCAGGCCTCAAACGAGATGGCGTGTGTTGGTAATTTTGTGGGTGCTGTCTATTGCAGGTGTTGCTCCTTGGTACTTGGCAATTATTTGTCTGATGACTGACAGACAAAATTCACCATATTTTGGTTTGTTGTTGGTCCTGAACTTGTATATGTTATAAGCATTTAGCATGGAAATATCAAGAAGATGGTAGAAAAGTTTCATATACCACTTGTAACTCTTGCGTACACAATCAGCAAACCCAATCTGCATGTCACATTTGTCCACTAAGCGCATATTGAGGTTGTAGTCCATGACAGCTGCAGGTTTTAGAATGGGTTCATTGGTTTCTACTGTGCCTGCCAGTGTATACCATTTTGTTTCGGTGAACTGATGTCAACAATTTGACATCATGTTTGTCATGCCACCGAAATGCCATGATGTCATTGGCAGCAAAGGCCTGCACCTCACCTCTGTGAGTGCCAGCGTCAAACCTTGGCATATGTTTACGATTACCACGCACTGTGCCACACACGTCTGTCAGGTTCACTCGCAAGAAGTCACTGAGTATGGGGCTTGTGTACCAGTTATCAGTATATAATATTTGCCCCTTACCAAGATATGGTTCCATCATAGTTCTAACCACATCACCAGAGATACCCAATAACTTCCTGGTATCTCTCAATGTATTACTGCCAGTGTACACAATGATATCCAAAACGAGACCACTTTTGCAATCACACAGTACAAATAACTTTATACCAAAGCGTTTTCTCTTGCTTGGTATATATTGCTTGAATGAGAATCTTCCTTTGAATAAAATCAAAGACTCGTCAATAACAAGCTTCCTGAAGGGATAAAAATACATGCAACACTTTTGTTTCAGGTACATAAACACATTTCTGATCTTATATAACCTGTTGCTTCTGTCAGGCCTTGTTTTGTCTGAAAAGTGTAACATACGTAACAGTATCAGAAAACGATTCACACCTGTAAAGTCACTAAAACCTGGGGTTGAAATCAGGCGTTCTGTTGCCCAGTATGTGGTGACAGTGTGCTTATACACATGTGGCATAAGCATTATTGTGGCAAAAAACAGGTACATCTCTGCCACAGTTGTGTCCTTCCACTGGTGTAGCCGTGATCTTGGTGAGAGAATTGTATTTGCCATGGTGTACTCATAGTATATGTTGGTTTCCCTGACAATAATGTCCATCAGGGGTTCATCGAAGAATAACTGAAAGCATTCCAGTTCAGTAGCATTGTTCCCAAGTGTACACGATGGCCGTATTCCACTTTGTGTTTCATCGAAGTCATGGGGACTTGGATCAAACTCGTCACCTTCCTGCCAATCCCAGATGCGGTCTGCTGGTGGGTTCTGGATATTGAAATGCGGTTGTGGTTGTGCAGATTGTGGGAGTGTGGGGTTGAGTGAGGCTGGTTGTAGTTGTGCAGAGTCAGCAGCGTCGGTAGTAGCGTGGCCCGCTGCTGGTGCCACATGACTCATGCCGCCATCACTATCACCACCACCACCACCTGCTTCCTCACTCACATCATTCATACCCATTGTAACAATATCATCATCTTCACTATCAGGTTATGGTGTAGGGCCACGGGATGTGCTCCGAGATTTACTCCTTCCCCTTGGAACAGCATATGACACACTACCAGACTGCATGCTATGTCGTACATACTGCTGCTTCACTGGGGAATATTCACCCTCACTGTCGCAACTAGAACTGCTTTCAGTAGCTTTGAAATCACTATCACTTTCACTGCTCACATCTGAGCCTTGTACATGGGCAAATAGTTTTCTCTTTTGTCCTGGTACAGGTGAACGTGAACGAGCCGGCCCAGCACCAGAGGTGGCAGGTCATGGGTCATCTGGGTTTTCATCACTAATTACGTTATCCTGGGCACTGCTTTCAGTCACACCCACTTGAAAACTCTGGAATTCACTGTCACTGACACTTTCATCGCTGTTAGAGCTATCACTTGGGAACAAAAGACCTCCAATCCTCCGAGGAGTGAGGTACTTCTTACTGTGAGGCATGGTGAAAATGGACTACCAAGATGGCGTTCCCACAATGCACCACTGAGTCCCAGATTTTTTTCACAGGGTGCACACCCACCACTCAGACCCATTCTCTCTCATGTAGGCCTACCAGCTTTCTCCCGCTTGATTTGAAGCCGCTAGAATTTACGCATATAAATACGTCAGAAACAGTGGCGCGTAAGACATATATATACGACCGAAACAGTCAAAGGGTTAATAGTAATAATAACATTGTATATTTCAAAATCTATTTCTTGAAACCCCCCTCATTTCCAAAATCAAATCTGAACTAGAAATTTTACAAAGTGAAATTTTTGAATTTCAGCTAGAATAACCTTTCAAATTTGTAATGGCTTTATTTGGTGAAAGATACAGTATCTAGTTTCAGTTATTCAGTCTACAACAGGATACCTTCATGGGGGAGGGGAAGAGGTGAAGAGGTGCCTTGGTGTTGGTGAAGCGCTCTTGATCTCAACCTCCCATTCAAACCTCCCATTCCCCAGATTCTGTATAACCCCTACAGGCTTAGTGCTTCCCCATGATTGTACTAATGCAGCAGAATACAGTGCTGTATGCATGTCAATCAGTATTTATCACAAGTGTAGCAATTTGTTGCTTACCTGTGTCTTGGCAATACCCTCTACTGTGTTGTGTAAACATTAACAATACGCTGTATTGTGTAAACATTAACAATACGCTGTATTGTGTAAACATTAACAAAACACTGTATTGTGTAAACATTTAATGAGAGAGTGTATGTTAAAAGCATTACCAATGCACTGTGTATTGTGAACATTACAGTTGTGTAAACATTAACAGTGCAGTACCCTGTATTATATCAACATTAATAATACATTGTATTGTATAAAAATAAAATAATACACTCTTGTGTAAACATTAACCATACACTTTTATAAACACTAACAATACACTCTCTTGTAAATGGGGCTCACAAATGAAATGACCCAAGCTTGATCTTGGGGCAGGTGGAGATGTTGGGCATGTTTCACTACACTTGTAGCCCCTATTCACCTAGCAGTAAATAGGTACCTTACCTTTATCCTTGATGAGTTTCGAGAGTCTTACTACTCCCAGAGCCCAGCCATGGGCCAGACTCATCTGGTGCTCGTCAGGTACCTAGGTGTTCACAAGATGTTGTGGGTCACATCTTAGTGTGGAGGGGAAAGAGACTATTTTAGATAGAGATGGATTTTGAATTAACCTGAGATAGGAAAATAGCTTCTAGCTTGTAATTTAGTGGTGTAAAAAAATAAAAGGTCAAAATTTTGCTTGTTGTTTGGGGGTTTGGTAAAATGTAAAGTACTGCAGGTTGTCCATACTTGTTAGCTAGGAAATTGACCATGTTGATATAGCTGATTTCTGTAATATCATTCATTTTATTAAGTAGTGGCCATTTTTAAATGAAACAATCGTCTGAATGGGTGGGGTTCAACCCCATGGCAAGCAAGACCTAAAACTCATAGGCCACTGTTTTGTGGTTCAGTGGATAGTATACTGGCTTACGAGTTTTAGGACTCACTTACCATGGGTTTGAACCCCACCTGTTCTGTGATTTGTTTGCAGTCATGCTAGTATGAGTGTATTTAGAATAGTTTAATAAAACTATCTGTTGAATGTTGTCACCTGAGTGGCTAGTTTATTATGCACCCGCAGCTCATCACATGAGTGGTAGACTGTGACTAGAACAGTACGTAACCCGCACATAGGAAAGAGAAGCTTACGATGAAGTTTCTGTCTGACTAGGACCATTAACAAAGTCACACAAAATGCTGTAAATAGAGAATTGGAGATTGAATGATGAGTGCAAGTATGTGTGAGTGAGCACAAACGATAAACTGGTGTAGGAGGCCTACAGCGAAGGGAACAGTGAAAACAGACAGATCCTGGACATAGGCACTCTGCTAGTGAGCTAATGGGTAATTAAAAATATATATGGAAGAAGTGAATGTTTTCAGATATTTGGGAGTTGACTTGTCAGCAGATGGGTTTATGAAGGATGAGGTTAACCATAAAATTGATGAGGAAAAAAGGTGAGTGGTGCGTTGAGGTATATGTGGAGACCAAAAACACAAAGAAGGGAATGTGTATAGTGGTACCAACTCTTATATGGGTGTGAAGCTTGGGTTGTAAATGCTGCAGCGAGGAGGTGGTTGGAGACAGTGGAGATGTCCTGTCTAAGGGCAATGTGTGGTGTAAATATTATGCAGAAAATTCAGAGTGTGGAAATTAGGAGAAGGTGTGGAGTTAGTAAAAGTATTAGTTAGAAGGCTGAAGAGGGGTTGAAAGATTAAGACACTTGTGCAACATCTGGTTATCATTTATTGTAGACGTTTTGCCATCCAGTGACTTTATCAATACAGATTCTAGGACATTATTAGAAAACAGAAGAACTATATACAAAAGATGTAATCAGTCCCTCAGCCTTGGAGGTGGTGTTTACAGCACCGTGGTTGTAGAGATTCTGAAGCACAGGTAAGGAGACTGGCGCTTATATAGACGTCAGGGAAGAGGGACGTGTAGCAGACGAGGGCATAGTCACTGGTAGGCGGGATTCCCCAGTGGAAGTAGGTCCTTCCCAAATTGATGGGCTAGTTGTAGAAGTCGTGAAGATGGTCACGTAGATGTCCTCTGAACCAAGATACCATCTACAACATCATGAAGAGGGGTTGTTGAGGTAGTTGGGTCATTTAGAGAGACTGGATCAAATTAGAATGACATGGAGAGCGTATAAATCTGTAGGGTGGGGTAGGGGTCATCCTCGAAAAGGTTGGAGGGAGGGGGTAAAGGAGGTTTTGTGGGCGAGGGTCTTGGACTTCCAGGAAGCATGCGTTAGCGTGTTAGATATGAGTGAATGGAGACGAATGGTTTTTGGGACCTGACAAGCTGTTGGAGTGTGAGCAGGGTAATATTTAGTGAAGTGATTCAGGGAAACTGGTTATTTTTATATAACCTGATTTGAGTACTGGAAATGGGAAGTACAATGCCTGCACTTTAAAGGAGAGGTTTGGGATATTGGCAGTTTGGAGGAATATGTTATATATCTTTATGTATACTTCTAAACTGTTGTATCTGGGTGCCTCTGCAAAAACAGTGATTATGTATGAGTGAAGTGAAAGTGCTGAATGATGATGAAAGTATTTTCTTTTTGGGTCACCCTGCCTCACTGGGATCTGGCCGACTTGTTGAAAAAAAAAATTATTTCTGGAACTATAGTACACATTGTTTGGCATATAAAAAAATTCTGCCTAAAAATTTATTTTTTTCTGTAGTTTATAGCTCCTTTACAGATCTGTAAATAAAATCACTTTTTATAAAAATACTGAGTAAATTCTACATATTTTGCCTCTTGTTATAAATCTTTGGTAAAAAAAATTTTTTTTCTTTATTTTCTTATTAAAGTTTTGTTTTGTTAAAAAGCAGTTTGTGCTCAGAAAATGTTTACTGAAGTAAGATGACAATAATGAATGTCTGATATACATATTGTTGTCCTTGAGCAGAAGCACAGCGGAGTAACAGATGCAGCCTTGCAGGCAGAACTTCAGCGTGGTCACTCTCTCCATCGGATGGGAGCTGCATCTTCTCCAACGTCGTGTGCACACAGAGGGAGCTCACCTGCCCCGAACATCATGTCACCTTGCCCACCAACCGCCATGCTTGGGGGGTCTATAGCTGGGGGGTCACCGTGTCGTTCCCCGCTTCCTCAAACTCCAAGCCCACTCCACCAACAGACCATCCCTCTGATCTCACCGACACCCTCCCCACCAGTACCTCCAACAACTCCACCATCAATACCAAGTAATTACTGTGTTGTTTTCATAGATGAATGCTTGTTTGTTTGTGTGCACATGCATCACTTCCTTAGTGTACAGGAAGTGATCAAGTCCTGTGATATCCTGTCATCTTTACCTGTCAATTCAAAACTTTGGTTTGGCATGTACTATTACCTCTTGCTGTTCATTGTAAAATCCACAGTTCTGTAAAAAAATCATAATTCTTAATTTATGCAAAAATATTCTCTAATCCTAATACACCATTACTTTTTTAATTGTTTAATTATGTAGATTTTTTATTTTGTTTTTCTTTTTAAATCTTCCTTTTATGGCTTTGGACAAAATGTTATGCAGTACTGTACCCATTCAGTATTTGCAAGGGATGTGTTCATCAATTTGTGGTTGTGGTTCTGCAAAGAAACTTGATGATAAGCTTGTGGATAGAGAATCTGTAAATTGATAACAAAAACACGGGATACATTTTAAGTCACTGGCTCCAATACCTATAATTAGATTAATCATCTGTTTTGTAATTTTTTTTGTCAGCTGTAGAACAGATGAGTTATGTAGGTGATGTACTGTAATGCCATACTTGAGTTATGATTCTGGGAGTCAAGTTCGTGGATAATACCACAAGAGTTGTGGATCTGGGAACTAAGACACGGATAACAGACATTAAAAAATGTTGTGAAGATATTTATTCTAGCCACTACACACAGCATTAACCCAAAATACCCAAAAGCTGACACATTCTATTATAGTTTGTGCATCTAACCCCCCTTCTCTTGTTCCTATCTAAAATTGAACCACACATTTGTAAAGGAAATCATTCAAGCATTCTGCTCACTGACGTTCACCTAGTCACATAGAAATGAAAGTGAGTGCTAGAGTGCAGTGTTTTACACATTGTCAACAAACTATGTGCACATTGTGCATGCCATAGTAGATATACCATAATCTCTACATGTGGCTGTGTTAGGTAGGGGTGAGCCAAAAGTATCTGTAACAGTTGGTATCAGTTAATCTTAATGTTATCAGTATTGGCATTGGCTAAAAATTTTGTATGATATTGGCAAAAATTTTGGTATCATCCCAGCACTTCTGTTAGGTCAGACAGTGAAAGTGAACATAGATAAGAGTTAGGTGATGAGGGTATCAAACACATCAGTTAAAAAAAAAATGGATATCACATTGGAGGGAGGGAGTATGGAAGAAGTAAATGTGTTCAGTTATTTGGGAGAAGACTTGTCAGTGGATGGATTTATGAAGGATGAGGATGGGAATGACGAAGGAAAAGGGTGGGTGGAATATTGAGGTATCTGTGAAAACAAAGAACATTATCCATGGAAGCAAAGAAGGGAATGTCCAAGAGGATAGTGGTTATATGAGTGTGAAGCATGGATTGTGAATGCTGCAGCAAGGAGGGGGCTGGAGGCAGTGGAGATGTTGTGTCTAAGGGCAATGTGTGGTGTAAATGTTATGCAGAGAATTCATAGTCTGCAAATTAGGAGGTGTGGAGTTACTAAAAGTTTTATTCAGAGGGCTGAGGAGAAGTTGTTGAGGTGGTTTGGTTATTTAGTGATGATGGAGTAAAATAGGATGACTTGGAGAGTGTATAAACCTATAGTGGAGGGGAGGAGGGGTAGGGTTTGTCCTAGAAAAGGATGGAGGGAGGGGGTAAAGGAGGTTTTGTGTGCAAGGGGCTTGGACATACAGCAGGCATATGTGAGTGTGTTAAATAGAGTGAATGGTGATGAATGGGTTTTTGGACTCGATATGCTGTTGGAGTGTGAGCAGGGTAATATTTTGTGAAGGGATTCAGGGGTAACCGGTTAGCTGAACTTGAGTCCTGAAGGTGGGAAGTACAATGCCTGTACTTTAAAGGAGGAGTTTGGGATATTAGCTATTTGGAGTGACATCTGAACTGTCATATCTGGGTGTCTCTGCAAAGACAGTGATTGTGTATAAATGATGGTGAAAGTGTTTCTTTTTTGGGTCACTCTGCCTCGGTGGGAGACAGCTGACATGTTAAAAAAATGAACACAATTGAATTACAGTGTGATGGTTAGTTAAGGCGGTACGTGGGCAATTTTCCGCGCGCGCTCAACCAAAAATCGAAAAATTATGGAAATTGATTTATATATACCGAAAAATAGCTTAACTCTTTGGCAACACAATGGTACAAGAATCAATGTTCTAAGACGTTTCTACAAGAAATTATAGTCATTTATATCAGGTATGGTAACGAGAGTCCACCAGCAATATTTCGATATAAATAAGTTACTCCTCGTCTCCTTGTTCTATTGTTTGGTATGCGAGTGATAGAAAACGGTATTTTGAAGAGGATAACTGCACTAGAACATCAGTTTACTAAGAAATACACCGAAAAAAACGCGATTTCCGTGCAAAAAAAATTTTTTTTGAGACGGTAGGCCTGCCGGCGTTCTAGGCCTATATCTCGGAAGTAACTTTTTCACATATTTCGCTAATGTACACCATTATTAATTATTGTATTGAAATGATTTTCACTGACAATATAAAACAAAGTGTGTTTGAAAATGTGAGGCTTCTTTTTTTGGAATATATCAAATATTTTTGATTTTGTGGGAGGTAAAAGGCAGATATTTTGGTGAATGCCAAAAAGTCTATCAAAAGTATTTTTTTTTTCCATGATAATAAGACATATTAGATAAAACATGTCCCGCCGAAATTAGTGTCAGATGTATTCTAACGGTTGGGATTGTCGGAAGTGCCACTCGAAGTGCCATTTTGCCATACCCTGCTGCCATATATGAAAAGTCATTAAATATTTTTTTCTCTGTTGTTTGTTGGCCAATCATACTGAAACTTTGTCACATTCTTCTACATATGAACCTCTAAATGTACACCAAAAATAAAAAAAATTGGTTGAAAAATAAAGAGTTGGCAAAAATTGGAAATTACAGGTTTGTCTCAAGACAGTCATTAATCCACTAAGGATGCCATTCCTTCAAAACATCACTATGTGCAAAGTAATCACAATTGGTGCTTCTCACACTTAACACTTCCTTAGTGCTGTTTAGGCTGCATAGAGATGTGTGGGAGCAGGTGCAGCAGGCTGCATTACCTACAGCATGATTGTCAGGCTAGAAGGAATAGTGGTTAACCCAAGGTTTTCTTGGTATTTCTCACACTTTCAGTTAAGAGGTTTGATGAAGCAGTAAGCCATATGATTGGTGTGTGATTTTGCAGGCCATTAGCAGAAATAGCCTGATTAAACAGGCAATTACTAAGGAAGTCTGGCCTCAGGGGAGACTGCAAGGGTAGAAGGACTCATAAAACCAGTTACTGGTATGCACTGGTAGTTTCCACATTTCATTTTGGTCCTCGGGAAGAAATTTGTAAACTGTTTTTCAGTGGAATGTCTGTTGAAAAGGACTTTAGTTATAGGCCAAAATATGCAGTATACTTTTTTTTTTTTTTTAACATGCTGGCCGTATCCCACCGATGTAGGGTGACCTAAAAAAAAATATCAGTTTTCTTTTTAAGTTTAGTAATTTATACAGAAGGGTTACAAGTCCCTTGCTCCCTGTGTTTTAGTCACATCTTACAACACTCATGGTTTAAGGAGGAATTCTTTTTCACTTTCCCATGGTGAAGTATACTAATTGTGTACTGTAATCTTATCTCCTGTTTAATTTTCTCCATGTGGGTTTGATTATGTGTGTCCCATGTTCCTCTATGCTGGGGGGTGAGGGTTAGATCTCAGTTGAAATATATACTACAGTACTAGTACCATTAGTATAGCCTGAACTCTGTTACCTCTGTGAACTTTTTAATGATTCTAATGGTTGCTGTCATTTCTGTAAATTTTTAATCTAAGTCTTTTGTTTGGTGGCTGCTGGTTGTAAATAACAACCATAAAGACTCTGGGACCTGCCATAATACAGTACTTGTTTCTGTTACATAGTCTAAGTAAAGCAAACTGGGATAGTAATTTCATTGAATATTCAGCTATTTCTGAATAGTAGTTATCTTTATTTTTCTCCTTACTCATTGTAGAGTAAACCCCAGGAGAAATTGTATCTCTGATCATGTTATTTAACCCATAAACTGGGTATGATGTATTTATGATGTGGTATGGCCGGTCCCGTAATATTACAGCTTTGAAGCCAGTGTCGGTCTCGTAATACTACGCCAAAATTCTGACTGCTTCCAATCTTGCGGGAGAAAGCTGGTAGGCCTACATATGAGAGAATGAGCCTGAGTGGTCAGTCTGCACAGTAGAAAAAAATCCTGCAGCACGCAGTGCATAATGAGAAAAAAACTGTGAGCGTTTTTGGTTTAAAACAGTAGCTTTATGGTTTGTTTTCTTATGGTATTTATGGTTGTATTCTCATTTTCTTGGTCTCATTTGACAGACTGGGAGACATATTACAGAAATAGAGTTGATTTTGAATTGTTTACAGACTAAAAGTAACTTGAAAAGTGAACTCAAATTAGTGGAAATGTTCGTTTTCTGACGATGTTCAAAAGTACACAAAACATGTCATGCATCCAATACATGTCAACTGGTGGGTCTAATGTGCATTCATGCATGCTGTGTTATTATTTATACAATTATTACAATTATGCAGTAGTCTGAATAACAGTAAATCTTCTATTTTTTATGTGAATAAAAATTCAAAATAAAAAAAACAAGTGTAATATAAGAGGTGCCTGGAGACATGACTGATGAACAGAGAAAATGTTATTTTAGTGCCAGGAATGTCTGCATTGTTTATTCTGGACCCTATTTTGAAATTGGCCTTTCTTGAACTTTATGTGAAATTGGCCAAAATAGTATTTTCTAATCACTTTTTTTGGGTAGTTGAAATAGGTAAATGGGCAGTTTCTTGTAATCAATCGATAGAATAAAAGGAGTTCTAGCAAAATAGCTATGAGATTGCTAAAGTGAAGCAAAGGAATTGGCCCAAAATAGGGCTCAAATTGGGTGAAATCACCGATTCGTAAATATCACCGAAACTGCTAATTTTGTGAGTGTAA